ATTATTGTGAAATGTTTAGAAGAGCAGGGAGACTAATGCTCAGTCCAGCATAAACAAAGCCACACTGACGATGTGTCAACCACTCCCTCGTATTTTTGTACAATTTCCTTCTTCAATTATATCGTATTATTATTATTATTACTATTGTTATTATTAGCAGTAGCAGAAATGTTTGATTCTTTGCTGTGTTCAAGAGTAAACACAAGATGTCACCGTCCAATACCTGTCCGAATAGCCCTTCCAATATGCAGTCATGAATGGGTTTACATTATTTATACTGTAGTTTAATAGCAAATAATGAACAAACAAAACACTCACCACACTGAGTGGTGGGAGGGCTGGCTGCCAGTTGCGGGGGTCAGAGGGAGGGTAGTAGGGACTCGCAGTGGTTGAGGAAGTGGTGGAGGCATTGGAGGAGACAGTGGTGGAGTCTGTGGTATTTAATAACATACATGTTATTAAAGCATAACATGTACAGTAGGGCCCCACTTATACGGCGGGTTAGGTTCCAGGCTACCGCCGTAAAGCGGAAATCGCCGTAAAGTGGAACACCCTTTTTTTCCACTTATAAATGCATACAAACACTAGATAACAAGTTTACACTAACATATATTAAGTTAGCAATAGAACCAGGCATCAAAAAACAATAAAAAGGTACAATACACACATAGTGCACTCATTACTTACCTTAAAATATTTATAGTCTTAATCTAGGGTGAGACAAGTAGTATTTATTGTAAGAAATCAAGTGTGGTATGTATTGTAATAGCCTCACCAGGCCACCCCACCCACATATACTATTCTATGATATTTAAGCATCCCAGAGCGATAAAATGTATATACAGTTCACTCATTACTTACCTTAAAATATTTGTAGTCTTAATGTAGGGTCAGGAGTAAGTAAATGAGATAAAACGAATAAATGAGAGAGAGAAAGAATGAGTACATGAGAGGGGGCAGGCGCAGTTATGTAAACAAACCAGGGGAAGGTAAGTTTTGTAAACAAACGAAATGTACACGTCTGGTTTGTGTACAAGTTACATTGTGTACAGGTTGTCTCTACATTGATACGGTAGAATTAATAAAGAAGAACACTCCCATTCTCATGTAACATCATTTTGAGAAGAAATGAAGCTCTGAGTGAAGGCAATGGAAATAAGTCACACTGACTTTTTTGGGTTATCCTAGGTTCTCTACAACGTATGTTGTTATGTATGATAATCTATGTAACTGTATTTGTGTATACCTGAATAAACTTACTTACATACATACGAAAGGAATAATTTTCTACAGTTACCCCCAGTAACACATTTACTCTTATGTTAGATTAGAGAAAATGTTATTCTTGCCGTCACTTGTACAAGTTATGTGGCTCCCACATCTTATATTTATGTTTATTTATTCTATTGTGGGGTGTATTTATCATCTTTTTATGTTATGTATCGTGTTTATTATATAATTTTGAAAAAAATATCATGGATGGATTAATGAAAATGTGTTATATTACCGTAATATACGACATTTAATGAGACTCGGTATTGTTATTATCACCACTTGTGCAAGTCGTCTGCTACGACATCTCACATTTGTTTATTTATTCTACTGTGGGGTGTATTTATCTTATTTTATATGTTATGCATCGTGTTTATTATATAATTTTGAAAAAAATATCATGGATGGATTAATGAAAATGTGTATATTACCGTAATATACGACATTTAATGAGACTCAGTATTGTTATTATCACCACTTGTGCAAGTCGTCTGCTCACATCTCACATTTGTTTATTTATTCTACTGTGGGGTGTATTTATCTTATTTATATGTTATGCATCGTGTTTATTATATAATTTTGAAAAAATATCATGGATGGATTAATGAAAATGTGTATATTACCGTAATATACGACATTTAATGAGACTCAGTATTGTTATTATCACCACTTGTGCAAGTCGTCTGCTCACATCTCACATTTGTTTATTTATTGTACTGTGGGGTGTATTTATCTTATTTATATGTTATGCATCGTGTTTATTATATAATTTTGAAAAAAATATCATGGATGGATTAATGAAAATGTGTATATTAACGTAATATACGACATTTAAACGACTCGATGTATGTAAGTTTATTTAGGTACAGGTATACATAAGTATAATTATCAGAGTATATATAAAATATGAAATAACTTTTAAAAACATTTGAAATTTTGGAGTTTCCAGACAAAATGGAGAGACTTAGTGCTTACTGAGCTCATGGAGAATGTAAACAAACAGGGTGGGGCACGGTGACCGTATTAGAAAGTCAGGTGGGGGGAGCCGTATAGTGAGTTTTGGTCATAATTTGAAATGTCCGTATTAGCGGAACGCCGTAAAGCGGAACGCCGTAAAGCGGGGCCCTCCTGTATATATTTAGTACAATTTACGACGTTTTCATGTATTTTATGAGTGTTCATGGTTCGACAAGTTAAGGAAGCAGTATTGTATTATATTTCCCTACAATATATATAGGTGGTAAGTTATTAAATGCTGTAAAGAGTTTTTATGAGGATAGTGAGGCTCAGGTTAGGGTGTGTAGAAGAGAGGGAGACTACTTCCCGGTAAAAGTAGGTCTTAGACAGGGATGTGTAATGTCACCATGGTTGTTTAATATATTTATAGATGGGGTTGTAAAGGAAGTAAATGCTAGGGTGTTTGGGAGAGGGGTGGGATTAAATTATGGGGAATCAAATTCAAATGGGAATTGACACAGTTACTTTTTGCTGATGATACTGTGCTTATGGGAGATTCTAAAGAAAAATTGCAAAGGTTAGTGGATGAGTTTGGGAATGTGTGTAAAGGTAGAAAGTTGAAAGTGAACATAGAAAGAGTAAGGTGATGAGGGTGTCAAATGATTTAGATAAAGAAAAATTGGATATCAAATTGGGGAGGAGGAGTATGGAAGAATGAATGTTTTCAGATACTTGGGAGTTAAAGTGTCGGCGGATGGATTTAGGGAAGGATGAGGTTAATCATAGAATTGATGAGGGAAAAAAGGTGAGTGGTGCGTTGAGGTATATGTGGAGTCAAAAAACGTTATCTCTGGGGGGCCAAAGAAGGGAATGTATGAAAGTATGTAGTACCAAAAACTCTTATATGGGTGTGAAGCTTGGGTGGTAAATGCAGCAGCGAGGAGACGGTTGGGGGCAGTGGAGTGTCCTGTTTAAGGGCAACTTTTGTGGTGTAAATATTATGCAGAAAATTCGGAGTGTGAAATTAGGAGAAGGTGTGGAGTTAATAAAAGTTTAGTCGAGGGCAGAAGAGGGGTTGTTGAGGGGGTTTTGGTCATTAGAGAGAATGGATCAAAGTAGAATGACATGGAAAGATATAAATCTATAGGGGAAGGAAGGCGGGGTAGGGGTCGTCTCGAAAGGGTTGGAGGAGAGGGGGTAAAGGAGGTTTTGTGGGTAAGGGGCTTGGACTTCCAGCAAGCGTGCGTGAGCGTGTTAGATAGGAGTGAATGGAGACGAATGGTTACTTGGGACCTGACGATCTGTTGGAGTGTGAGCAGGGTAATATTTAGTGAAGGGATTCAGGGAAACGGTTATTTTCATATAGTCGGACTTGAGTCCTGGAAATGGGAAGTACAATGCCTCCACTTTAAAGGAGGGGTTTGGGATATTGGCAGTTTGGAGGGGTATGTTGTGTATCTTTATATGTGTATGCTTCTAGACTGTTTTTATTCTGAGCACCTCTGCAAAAACAGTGATAATGTGCGAGTGTGGTGAAAGTGTTGAATGATGATGAAAGTATTTTCTTTTTGGGGATTTTCTTTCTTTTTTGGGTCACCCTGCCTCGGTGGGAGACGGCCGACTTGTTGAAAAAAAAAAAAAAAAATATTGGGGACCAAACATTCACGGGTTTTTCCAAAAATTCGCGAGGCTCTTGATCCCCTAACCCTCGCGAATGTTGAGGGAGATCTGTATAATGTACACATGGTAGTGAACTGTATTGTAAATTTTACATTGCATACAGTATCATATGTTACTGTTATCTTTATGTATTGTCAACACAATGAATGGGAGAATACCACTGGTAGTGTCATCCTGCCAGAATGTAGTATAACCTATATCCTAAGTAAAGAGAAACAACTCTGGAACATGTGTAATACGTAGCGGCTGGCTGGCCAGGTGGGTGGCCGGGTGGGTGGCCAGGTTGGGTGGCCGGGTGGGTGGCCGGGTGGGTGGCCGGGTGGGTGGCTGGGTGGGTGGCTGGGTGGGTGGCTGGGTGGGTGGCCAGGTGGGTGGCCGGGTGGATGGCTGGGTGGGTGGCTGGGTGGGTGGCCGGGTGGGTGGCCGGGTGGGTGGCCGGGTGGGTGGCCGGGTGGGTGGCCGGGTGGGTGGCCGGGTGGGTGGCCGGGTGGATGGCTGGGTGGGTGGCCGGGTGGGGTGGAGGGGTGGTTGGTTGGTTGGCTGACTGGCTGACTGAATGTGGCTGTCTCTGTATCTCTCTGTATCTCTCTCTCTCTCTCTCTCTCACAGGTACAGTAAGTAAAGTTATCATACATAGTATAACTTAGCTAGGATAACCCAAAAAAATCCAGAAAAAGTGCTATACAGTGGATCTGTGCTCCAGTGCCCTAAATTAATAATACTGATAATAATTATTATTATTGTTACAATAATACATATGTACTAATAATAATATTATTAAACTATAATATAACAATCGTGTCCACTCATTACTTACCTAAAAATATCTGTAGTCTTAATGTAGAGTGAGAGGTGAGTAAACAAGATTAAATGAGAGAGAATGAGAGGGTAGAAGGTTGGCGAGTTATGTATACAAACATCGCTGTTGTTGTTGTTGTTACCAGCCCGGACACGAATGGTTTCTGTTCACTCTGTCAAGCCGACCAGAAAAACATCTCGTACTTGTTAATTTATATGTTTATATGTTATGTAGCATGTTTATTATATAATTTTGAAAAAAAATCATAGATGGATTAAGCAAAATGTCTATATTAACGCTTTATACACATTTAATGTGCCTCAGTAATTATTATTGTGTTATCATTATTAATAAGGCGTCTTCAAGACCAATTACATATTATTATGTTACCATCATTATTAATATGGCATCAAGACCAATTACACTCTTAATGAGTGTCTCTGAGACAGACAAGCAGACAGAAAGACAGACACACAGGTAGACAGAAAGACAGACACAGGTAGACAAAGACACACACAGGTAGACAGAAAGACAGACACACAGGTAGACAGACAGATACACAGGTAGACAGACACACTGGTAGACATAAAGACAGACACACAGGTAGACAGAAAGACAGACACACATGTAGACAGACAAACAGATGCACAGAGATACAGACAGACACAGATATACAGGCAGACAGATACAGACAGGTTTATGTGCAACAGTGAAAACAAATAGAGAGTTGGAGAGTAAGAGCCTTTCTTGCCACAATCTCCAGTGCAAGATTCAGACTTCATCTCAGGGGCCATGGTGAAATTTACTGTCCAGTTAGTACAGTTAATACAGTATGATGCTGCTGATAGGGCAGGGTTACTCAAACTGATGCTGCCTGCATGACGCATTTGCCACCGCGAGTATTGTCAAATATTGTACAGTGGTGTGCATCAGCCGGCCCAGCCCAGCTGCCAGATGCACGGTCGTAAGTCGAGTGGTCGTAAGTCGAGTGGACGTATGTCGAGCAGGTCGTAAGTCGGATGGTAGGTGTACTACTTACCAACAAGAGTCTTCAATAAGGGTATGTAATGTTTATCATTAAAATTAGTCATTTATATTCAGTCATATTCAGTCATATTCAGTTATATTCAGTTATATTAGTCATTTTATTCTGTAAGTAAAACTATAGTTATTCTCTATAAATGTAATTTTTGTTAATATTTTTGGGTGTCTGAAATGGATTAATTGGATTTACATTATTTCTTATGGGAAATGTTACTTCAGTGTTTGGCCATTTCAGATTTAGGCCAACCTTCTGAAACGGATTATGAAAACCGGGGGTCTACTGTAGTTACTAATCACTCTAAAGTAATCTGGCAAACAGTTTTGTATGAGGGTTGTTTGGAGTTCAGTATAACAGTACTGCAGCACCAAAACCAGAACTTGCCAGTAACCAAAGCCTACCTTTGTTCCTCACCTTAATAATACAAGACACAGAGTGATTTTCTGAGATTCTCTTTGAGGAAAAAAAGATGCCTTACATGCCAGAAGTATGGAATACAAAACACACACTCAAGAAAAATAAAGATAAAAGTAACAAACAATAAAAGCCACAATTTTAAATGAGCAACACAAATACTAATATGTAAAAGTTAAAATACAGTGCACTGATTAACCCTTTCAGGGCCCAGACCCCTGATCAGAAACTTATCCACAGGGGTCCAAAAATTAAAAAAAAAAATTTTTTATTTTTTCTTATGAAATGGTAGAGAATCTTTTTCTGAAGGCAAAAAAACACAGTATGAAAAGTGACAAAATTATGCTTATGCAAATTCTTTTACATCAGTGATATTTATGCATCGGTGATTTTGCCCACTTTGAATCCTATTTAAGACCAATTACATTCTTCCAGTCTACCAAATAGTTAGCTATTTCACTAGTATGCCTTCCACTTTATAGATTGAGCACAAGAAACCACCCAATCAACTACCCAATAAAGTGATCAAAAACTGCTAATTTGGCCAATTTCACAAATTTCAAAATAGGGTTCCAGAAAAAACAATGCAGGCATTCCTAGCACTAAAATAACATTTCCTCTGTTCATTAGTTAAGTTTCCAGGCTTTACACATTAATTTCATTTTTATTTTTTATTCTCACAAAATTTTGTTCACACCAAAAAATAGAAGCTTTACTGTTATGCAATATTGTAATAATTGTGCAAATATTATTTGTGAACACATATCAGACCCACCAGTTGACATGTATTAAGTGATGTGATTTGTTTACTCTTGAACATCGGCAAAATTCAAACATTTCTGCTACTTTAAGCTCAATTTCAAGCTATTTTCAGTCCTAAACCAAGCAAAATCATCTCTATTTCTGTAATATATCTTCCACTCTATCAAATGAGACCAAGAAACATTGAATACACCCATAAAAACTACACTAAAATACACCACAAAGTCGCTGTTTTAAACCAAAAACACGGTCACAGGTTATTTTTCATTATACATTGTGTGCTGCAGGATTTTTTTATAAGGTGCACACTTACCACATAGACCACTCTCTCATATCTAGGCCCAAATTTACCACTCACAGCTTATCTAAGTGATGTGAGCTCAAGATGTAACACTACGGCACTGACACTGCCTTCAAAGGTGTAGAACTATGGCATGGCCCCTGAAAGTGTTAAAAATTTCATTAAATTATTGTCAAAAGACTTCCCTGAAAGTTTCCCCTAGATCTCTACAAGCACCCTGGTAATTATAAAAACCATGATGAAGGCAGAACAGCCTAAGCCATGAGGAAACTGTCAAAATGTGTACCAGTCAGTTGCGTGTCACAGGCCACACAAAGGGAGAAAAGGAGCACCTGCAAACAGGTAAGGTAAGATTTGTTCAGATTTTTAACCTGGAGGGTTATCCACTTAGGATAACTCAAGAAAGTCAGTGCATCATCAAGGATTATGTCTTATTTTCACTGGGGTTGTGTAATCCTGTTGCCAGTTGACTAATGCCTAGGTATCTGCTTACTGCTAGGTGAACAAGGGCAGAAGGTGTTAGGAAACACACCCAGAGATTGAACTATGGACACTCAGTGTGTGAGACAAGAGTTGCTAACCGAGCCACAGGACACCGTGGTCATGCGTAAGATCTATATGCTCAATCTTCAACTGACAGCTATCAATGGAGTATCCACTAAGAGGGGCAAGAGTGTGGTATTTAATAATAGAGCATGGATGAGAACAGGATTCTAGAGTATTGTGGGAGACTCAGTTGATATCTATCATAATGAGAGAACTTTGCCTGTTGATTAGATGTGAAAGTCATTATTACCGAGCACAAAGCACACGTATAGACCTTACTAGGGTCCAGAGAAATAAGTATCAGTGTGAATAAGGTGACATATTCCAAATGAGTACCTCCCTCTTCCCTCAGGCCCCAAACACAGAAATATGGATTTTATAATATAGCACTATAAAAACCCTCTACTACAATAATTTATGAACAGCCTAAGGGAGCTACACCATCTAATTTAAATAAGTAATTCCACATTATAATGGTAATATACAAGTCAACCCAAAATGGCATTTTCAAGATATTCAAAATTATTATTATTGTATTATTACTATAATCATGAGAAAGTATTAATCTTAAAAAGAAAATTAAGTTAATTATGCATAATTAAAATGACATGTTATCTTCCATGATATGCAAATATTTAAAAATATGTAGAAAAAAAAATCACCTTTCCTTCATACACAACAGTGTATTTGGGGACTCCATGAGGTGTCCAGAAGTTAAAGTTGAGGGAATCAACAAGGAAGATCCAGTCAACAAGCTGTGCTTTAGTCAGCCCTTTGTTTAGTGGCAGCACTTCATTCTAAAAAGTAATCAAGTCAGAAAACAATTAATATTAGAAGTGTGTACACATTAACAAAATAATAAGAAATAGATTACAGATTTCTTCTTTATTCATGTTACTAGGACAAGCTTTTGGTCTAACTAGACACTTATAAGTTGCTTTGCATAACTGTAGGAGACATTCTCAGCCCTCCTCCTGAAGCAAGTAATTTTGCTACTTTGAGCCTGATTTCAAGCTAATTCTAGTTCTGAAACCAACCAAAATCATATTTATTTTGGTAGTATATCTTCCATTCTATCAAGAAACGGCCAATAAACCCATAAAAACCATCCACGAAAAAACTCAAGTCACTATTTTAAACCAAACACAAGGTCAGAGTTTCGTTTTTACCTTTATACATTGCATGGGGAAGGAGATTTTTTAAACTGTGCACACCCATTCTTTCATCTGAGGCTAAAATTTATTGGTTGTAGTTTATCTGAGGGAGCCGAGCTCAAAACAGATCTACACAAGTGACCCTAGCATCAATAATGTAAAGCTATGGATGAAACAATGAAAGCATTAAGAAGGAAAGTTAAGGTATGTATATACCGAATGCAAGTACGCTGAGGTCAGTGGTCACCTGCAGTCCTACCTGCCTAAGCTCTTGGGAGTTAGCGTGGGCTGTTACCAAGCACCATGGCTTGTTGTAGTGTTATAGAATCTCAGGTTCAAGTGTTGAAGGAGATTCTACTTCTTCAGGAGGAAAATAGGAGCTGAAGCTTCGCTAGATGAGTTTGGGGCGAGTGTGAGAAAGGGTTATAATACCCCATTTTTAAATAATATGTACTATTATTATTTATAAAATATAGGGTTTTTTAAAAAACCACGGGCCTTCAACCCCCTAAATTTATTGTGAAATTTTTAGAAGAGGGGGGGGATAATGCTCAGTTCCAGCAAAACAAAGCCCCCACGGGACGATGTGTAAAAACCCCCTTCCCCGAAATTTTTGTACAATTTCCTTCTTAAATTTTATCGTTTTTTATTATTTTTTTACTTTTGTTTTTATTGGCAGAAAGCAAAAAATGTTTTTTTTTCTTTGCGGTTTTCAAGAGTAAACACAAATGTCACCTTCCCAATACCTGCCAAAATGGGCCCTTTCCCAAATATGCAGTATAAATTTGGGTTTCCCATTTTTTATACTGAAAGTTTTAATAAAAAATAATGAACAAACAAAACATCACCACACGGGATGGTGGGGGGGCGGCGGGCCGTTGCGGGGCAGAGGGGGGGTAGTGGGGACTCGCAGGGTTGAGGAAGTGGTGGAGGCATTGGAGGGGGACAGTGGGGGGTTTCGTGGTATTTAATAACATACATTTATTAAAGAAAATAACTGTACGTGGGGCCCCACTTATAGGGCGGGTTGGGGTTCCAGGCTACCGCCGAAAAGGGCGGGGAAATCGCCGTAAAGGGGAAACCCCCTTTTTTTTTTCCACTTATAAATGCATACAAACAAGATAACAATTTACCCTAACAAATTTTTAAGTTAGCAATAAAACCCAGGCATCAAAAAAAAATAAAAAGGGTATTTATACACACATAGTCATTCCATTACTTACCTTAAAATTTTTAAAGTTTAATCTGGGGGTAAAGGAAAATTAAGTTTTTATTGTAAAAAACAATTTTGGTATGTATTTTTAAAAAGCCCCCCACCAGGCCACCCCCCCCCAATATACAAATTCTATGATTTTTTAAGCATCCCGAGCATAAAATGTATATACAGTTCACTCTTTAAAAAAATTCCCTTTAAAAATATTTTTTGTCTTAATGTAGGGTAAAGGGATTTAAGTAAAAGATAAAACTTTAAAGGAGAGAGAGAAAAATAAAGTACATGAAGGGGGCAGGGGGCAGTTATGTAAACAAACCGGGGGAAGGTAAGTTTTTTAAACAAACAAAAATTTTACAGGGTTTTGGGTTTGTTACAATTTAACATTGTGTACGGGTTTGGGTCTCTACTTGATACGGGAATTAATAAAAAAGGGAACACCCCATTCTCTTTGTAAACATTTTAAAGAAAAAAATAAAAGCCTGAGTGAAGGAAAAGGAAAATAAGTCCACACGGGATTTTTTGGGGGTTTACCCTTTTTCTTACACGTAATGTTGTTATTTTATGTTAAATCTATGAACTGTATTTTTTGTATCCCCTTAAAAAAATTATTTACATACATACAAAAAGGAAAAATTTTCCCGTTACCCCCAGTAAACTTTTTACTCTTTTTGTTAGTTTGGGAGAAATTTTATTCTTGCCGTCATTTTGTCCCAAGTTTTGTGGCCCCCACATCTTATTTTTAAAGTTTATTTATTTATTGGGGGGGGTTGAATTTATCATTTTTTTATGTTAGTATTGTTTATTATATTTTTTTAAAAAAAAAATATCAGGGAAATGGATTAAAAAAATTGTGTATTTCCGTAATAACGACTTTTAATGAGATTGGGGTATTTTTTATTATCCCCCATTTGCAAGTCGTCTGCTACGACATCTCACATTTGTTTTTTATTCTACTGTGGGGGGTATTTTTTATTTAATTTTATGCATGGGGTTTATTTTTTAAAAATTTTTGAAAAAAAAAATAGGGATGGTTTAATGAAAATGTGAAATTTTCCCGAATATACAAATTTTTAATGAGACTAAAGTTTGTTTTTTCCACCACTTGTGCCAAGTCCGCCCCACCAATTTCCCCCCCCACCCCCCTTTTTTTTTTTTTATTCAAACTTTTTGGGGTGTTTTTTTATCTTATTTATATTTTATCCCATCGTGTTTTTTTATATAATTTTGAAAAAAATATCAGGATGGTTTAAATTTAAAAAATGTGTATATTAACCGTAATTTTACGACTTTTAAATTGAGACCAGTATTTTTTAATTATCCCCATTGTGCAAGTCGCCCTCTCACATCTCACATTTGTTTATTTATTGTCTTTGGGGTGTATTTTTTCTTTTTTTATATTTTAAATGCATCTTGTTTTTATATAATTTTGAAAAAAATATCATGGATGGTTTAATGAAAATGTGTTAATTAACGTAATAAAAGGGAAAATTTAAAGACTCGATGAAGGAAAGTTTATTTAGGTACGGGTTTATCATAAGTATAATTATCAGATTTTTTTATAAAAATTGAAATAATTTTTAAAAAACATTTGAAAATTTTTGGAGTTTCCCGGGACAAAATGGAGAGACTTAGGGGTTTATAAAGCTCAGGGGAAATGTAAAAAAACAGGGTGGGGCACGGTGACCTTATTAGAAAGTCGGGGGGGGGGAACCCCGATAGGGTTTTGGTCATTTTTGGGAAAAGGGTCCGTATTAGCGGAACGCCGAAAAGGGGAAAACCCCCTTTAAAGCGGGGCCCCTCCTGTTTTATTTAGTACAATTTACAAAAGTTTTATTTTTTTTTTATTTTTATGAGTGTTCAGGGTTTTGACAATTTAAAGGGAAGCTGGTATTGTATTATATTTCCCTAAATATATATGGGTGGTAATTATTAAATGCTGAAAAGAGTTTTTTATGAGGATAGTGGGGCTCAGGTTGGGGTTTGGTAAAAGAGGGGAAATATTCCCCGGGTTTAAAAGTAGGTTTTAGACGGGGATGTTTTAATGTCACCAGGGTTGTTTTATATTTATAGTTTGGGGTTTTTAAAGGAAGAAAATGCTAGGGTTTTTGGGGAGAGGGGGGGAAAAAAATTTTAGGGGGGAATAAAAATTCAAAAGGGGAAATTGACACAGTTACTTTTTGCTGATGATACTGTGCTTATGGGAGTTTCAAAAGAAAAATTGAAAAGGGTTTAAGTGGATGATTTTGGGGAATGTGTTAAAGGTAAAATTTTGAAAGTGAACAAAGAAAAAAAGTAAAGGTGATGGGGGTGTCAAATGATTTAGATAAAGAAAAATTGGATATCTTTTTGGGGGAGGAGGAGTATGGAAGGTGAATGTTTTCAGATACTTGGGATTTTGACGGTTTCGGCGGATGGATTTATGAAGGATGAGGTTAATCATGAATTGATGGGGAAAAAAAAAAAAAAGGTGAGTGGTGCGTTGAGGAAATTTTGGGGAAAGTAAAAAAAAAATTTATCTCTGGGGCAAAAAAGGGAAATGAATGAAATTATAGTATACCCCACTCTTATTGGGGTGTGAAGCTTGGGGGGAAAAGCAGCAGCGAGGAGAGGTTTGGATGACAGTGGAGATGCCCTGTTTAAGGGAAACTTTGTGGTGTAAATATTAGGCAAAAAATTCGGAGTGGGGGAAAATTAGGAGAAGGGGGTGGAGTTAATAAAAGTATTAGCAGGGGGGCAGGAAGGGGGGTTGTTGAGGGGGTTTGGTCTTTTAGAGAGAAGGATCAAAGTAGAATGACATGGAAACATATAAATCTATGGGGGAAGGGAAAGGCGGGGTAGGGTCGTCCTCAAAAGGGGTTGGAGAGGGGGGGTTAAAGGAGGTTTTGTGGGAAAGGGGTTTTGGATTTTCCAGCAAGCGGGGTGAGGGGGTTAGATGGAGTGAAGGGAGACGAAGGTAAAGGGACCTAAACAAATCTTTTTGGAGTGGAGCGGGTAATATTTAGTGAAGGATTCGGGGAAAACCCGGTTATTTTTTTATAGCCCGGACTTGAGTTTTGGAAATGGGAAGTAAAAATGCCTCCACTTTAAAGGGGGGGGTTTTTGGGATTTTGGCATTTTGGGGGGGGTAGTTGTGATCTTTATTTGTGTATCTTCTAGCCCTTTTTGGATTCAAAAGCCCTCGAAAAAAACATTGAAATGGCGAGTGTGGTGAAAAAGTGTTGAATGTGATGAAAGTATTTTCTTTTTGGGGATTTTTTTTTTTTTTTTGGGTCCCCCCCTGCCTGGGTTGGGAAAAGGGCCCGGGATTTTTAAAAAAAAAAAAAAAAAAAATTTTGGGGGAAACCAAACATTACTTTTTTTTCAAAAATTCCGAGGCTCTTTGATCCCCTAACCCTCGCAATGTTGAGGGAGATCTTTTATAATTTTCACATGGTAGTGAACTGTATTGAAAATTTTAAACTTGCAACAGTATCATATTTTTTATTTTTATCTTTATGTATTGTCAACAAAATGAATGGGAGAAATTACACGGTAGTG